ATGCCAGGTGGTGAAGGGTATGCCAGGTGGTGATAGGTATGCCTGGTGTTAAAGGTATGCCAGGAGTTGAAGGGCATTCAAAGTGGTGAAGTGTACGCCAGGTGTTGAAGGGCATTCAAGGTGGTGAAGGGCATGCGAGGTGATGAAGGGCATTCAAGGTAGTGAAGGGTATGCCAGGTGGTGAAGGGTATGCCAGGTGGTGAAGGGGATGCCAAATGTTGAAAGGCATTCACGTGGGGGAAAGGTATGCCAGGTGGTGATGGGTATGCCAGGTGGTGAAGGGTATGCCAGGTGGTGATGGGTATGCCAGGTGTTGAAGGGTATGCCAGATGGTGATGTGTATGCCAGGTGGTGAAGGGTATGCCAGGTGGTGAAGGGTATGACAGGTGGTGAAGGGTATGTCAGGTGTTCATGGGTATGCCAGGTGGTGAAGGGTATGCCAGGTGGTGAAGGGTATGCCAGGGTATGCCAAGAAGGGTATGCCAGGTGGTGAAGGCTATGCTAGGAGGTAAAGGGTATGCAAGGTGGTGAAGGGTATGCAAGGTGGTGAATTGTATGCCAGGTGGTGAAGCGTATGCCAGGTGGTGAAGGATATGGCAGGTGGTGAAGGGAATGCCAGGTGGTGAAGGGTATGCATAGGTGGTGAAAGGTATGCAAGGTGTTGAAGGGTATGCCAGTTGGTGAAGGGTATGCCCGGCAGTGAAGGGTATGCAAGGTGGTCAAGGGTATGCAAGGTGGTCAAGGGTATGCAAGGTGGTCAAGGGCATGCAAGGTGGTCAAGGGTATGCAAGGTGGTCAAGGGTATGCAAGGTGTTCAGGGGTATGTAAGGTGGACAATGGTATGCAAGGTGGTCAAGGGTATGCAAGGTGGTGAAGGGTATGCCAGTTGGTGAGAGGTATGCCAGGTGTTGAAGGGCATTCAAGGTGGTAAAGGGTATGCCAGGTGGTGAAGGGTACGCCAGGTGATGAAGGGTATTCTAGGTGTTGAAGGATATGCCAAGTGTTGAAGGGCATTTAAGGTGGTGAAGGGTATGCCAGGTGTTGAAGGACATTCAAGGTGGTGAAGGGTATGCCAGGTGTTGAAGGGTATGCCACCTGTTGAAGGGCTTTCAAAGTGGTGAAGGGTATGCCAGGTGTTGAAGGGCATTCGAGGTAGTGAAGGGTATGCCAGATGGTGAAGTGTATGTCAGATGGTGAAGGGTATGCCAGGTGGTGAAGGGCATGCCAGGTGGTGAAGGATATGCCAGGTGGTGATGGGTATGCTAGGTGGTGAAAGGTATGCCAGGTGGTGAAGGGTATGCCAGGTGGTGAAGGGTATGCCAGGTGGTGAAGGGTATGCCAGGTGGTGAAGGGTATGCCAGGTGTTGAACGGTACGCCTGGTGGTGAAGGATATGCCAAGTGGTGAAGTGTATGTCAGGTGGTGAAGGGTATGCTAGGTGGTGAAGGGTATGCCAGGTGGTGAAGGGTATGTCAGGTGGTGAAGGGTATGCGAGCTGTTGAAGGGCATTCAAGGTGATGAAGGGTATGCCAGGTGTTGAAGGGCTTTCAAGGTAGTGAAGTGTATGCCAGGTGGTGAAGGGTATGCCAGGTGGTGAAGGGTATGCAAGGTGTGGAAAAACATTCAAGGTGGTGAAGGGTATGCCAGGTGGTGATGGGTATGAGTGGTGGAGAAGGGTATGCCAGGTGGTGATGGGTATGCTAGGTGTTGAAGGGTATGCAAGGTGGTGAAGGGTATGCAAGGTGATGAAGGGTATGCCAGGTGATGAAGGGTATGCCAGGTGTTGAAGGGCATTCAAGGTGGTGAAGGGTATGCCAGGTGGTGAAGGCTATGCCAGGTGGTGAAGAGTTTGACAGGTAGTGAAGGGTATGCCAGGTGGTGAAGGGTATGCCAGGTGGTGAAGGGTATGCAAGGTGGGGAAGGGTACGCCAGGTGGTGATGGGTATGCCAGGTGGTGAAGGATATGCCAGGTGGTGAAGAGTATGACAGGTAGTGAAGGGTATGCCAGGTGGTGAAGGGTATGCCAGGTGGTGAAGGGTATGCAAGGTGGTGAAGGATATGCCAGGTGGTGAAGGGTATGCCAGGAGGTGAAGGATATGCCATGAGGTGAAGGGTATGCCAGGTGGTGAAGGGTATGCATTGTGGTGAAGAGTATGCCAGGTGGTGAAGGATATGCCAGGTGGTGAAGTGTATGCCAGGTGGTGAAGGGTATGCAAGGTGATGAAGGGTATGCCAGGTGGTGAAGGATATGCCAGGTGGTGAAGGGTATGCCAGGTGGTGAAGGGTATGCCAGGTGTTGCTGGTGAAATATGTTAATTATTTGTAAAATTATCACAAATATTAACTAGTGATACATTTACCCTAAAATTATTATGAAGTTCCCAATTGATAAAACACAAACCTTAAACTAATATCAATAAATTTAGTTAATAAAGGAATATTTTTTATTGGAAACTCTATCAGAAGATAAATTTCCCACTGTAGAATAATTAATGTTTATTATCAATGGAAAATGGCAAAGCATTACGATTATATAGCGCGTGTAAGGGGTCAGGCTACTAGGTTAGAAGAATTATTCATAAATACTATACAGGTAAATCTGGTCCATCAACACAATACTAAAAACGAGATAAACGTCGATTATATGACTTGATTCCAGTTTGACACACACATAGGAGAATATTAAATTTTTTGTGTCAATACGAAATAAATATAAATACAGCATGTTAGTTTTTGTTCCTCACGAGTCACAGCATGAGAAGTTTTTTGCTTCAGCGCCTCAGTGTGGCGGTCCAGAGAGGATACGCCTGCTGCGTCCTCGGTTCCCGTCCTGAAGCGGAGGAGCTTCAAGAGATCCATAACCTTTAAGCACTCTTTGTATCAACCAATGTATATCTTATAACCTTTAAACAAAACAAAAATACAACATTGAATTACAATAACAAACTTTCTTTAACAGAGGCTTTCAAATAACAAACAATAACAGAGGCTTTCAAATAACAAACAATAACAGAGGCTTTCAAATAACAAACAATAACAGAGGCTTTCAAATAACAAACAATAACAGAGGCTTTCAAATAACAAACAATAACAGAGGCTTTCAAATAACAAAGTATTTACCATAAAACCTCTCTGTTCCCCTCCCATGAACGGAGGGAACGTCCCTATCTGGTAATTTACGTTGCACTGATTGCTGATAACACTCAATCCTCGACAATGCAGACGACACACATTCACTCCCCCAGTTCTAACGAAAACAATAGCAATTGATTAGCAGTTCACTCACATTCTCTCTCATATACATAGCTCACATAACTAATACATTTAATTTACGACTAATACGCTATTAAATATTAAAAATATATTTTAGATTTTCAAACAATGTTGCACATAATGTGCAACGCAGTTCTTGCACAGGATACCACATAGGAATGGAATATGAGGGAATTGTTGTTGATATTACATCATACCTGTCACCAGCGGCCAACATCATACCTGTCACCAGAGGCCTACATTATACCTGTCACCAGAGGCCACCTTCATACCTGTCACTAGAGGCCTACATCATACCTGTCACCAGAGGCCTACATTATACCTGTCACCAGAGGCCACCTTCATACCTGTCACCAGAGGCCTACATCATACCTGTCACCAGAGGCCCACATCATACCTGTCACCAGAGGCCTACATTATACCTGTCACCAGAGGCCACCTTCATACCTGTCACCAGAGGCCTACATCATACCTGTCACCAGAGGCCCACATCATACCTGTCACCAGAGGCCTACATCATACCTGTCACCAGAGGCCCACATCATACCTGTCACCAGAGGCCTACATCATACCTGTCACCAGAGGCCCACATCATACCTGTCACCAGAGGCCTACATCATACCTGTCACCAGAGGCTTACATCATACCTGTCACCAGAGGCCCACATCATACCTGTCACCAGAGGCCTACATCATACCTGTCACCAGAGGCCCACATCATACCTGTCACCAGAGGCCTACATCATACCTGTCACCAGAGGCCCACATCATACCTGTCACCAGCGGCCACCATCATACCTGTCACCAGAGGCCTACATCATACCTGTCACGAGAGGCCTACATCATACCTGTCACGAGAGGCCTACATCATACCTGTCACGAGAGGCCTACATCATACCTGTCACCAGCGGCCTACATCATACCTGTCACGAGAGGCCTACATCATACCTGTCACCAGCGGCCTACATCATACCTGTCACGAGAGGCCTACATCATACCTGTCACCAGCGGCCTACACCATACCTGTCACCAGCGGCCTACACCATACCTGTCACCAGAGGCCTACATCATACCTGTCACCAGCGGCCTACATCATACCTGTCACCAGCGGCCCACATTAAACGAATAACATCATTGGCATATGCAAGAATTGCCGACATACAAACTATATTACAGAATCTCATGTCGTTCAGGACTTTGTATAACGTACGTCAGATGAATTACCAAATATGCATCGCCAGCGTGGAGTTACTCGTCCTGACTCGACCCTCTTACTAACCTTAGTCCTAACACTGGTCAGTATTAGTAACCTTAGTCCTAACATTGGTCAATATTAGTAACCTTAGTCCTAACATTGGTCAATATTAGTAACCTTAGTCCTAACACTGGTCAATATTAGTAACCTTAGTCCTAACATTGGTCAATATTAGTAACCTTAGTCCTAACATTGGTCAATATTAGTAACCCTAGTCCTAACACTGATCAATATTAGTAACCTTAGTCCTAACACTGGTCAATATTAGTAACCTTAGTCCTAACACTGGTCAATATTAGTAACCTTAGTCCTAACACTGGTCAATATTAGTAACCTTAGTCCTAACACTGGTCAATATTAGTAACCCTAGTCCTAACACTGGTCAATATTAGTAACCTTAGTCCTAACATTGGTCAGTATTAGTAACCTTAGTCCTAATGATGGTCAGTGTTAGAAATCAGATCATAACAACAGTGTTAGTAACGTCACTCTAACAACAGTTAATGACAGTAACGTCACTCTAACAGTTAATGACAGTAACGTCACTCTAACAGTTAATGACAGTAACGTCACTCTAACAACAGTTAATGACAGTAACGTCACTCTAACAGTTAATGACAGTAACGTCACTCTAACAACAGTTAATGACAGTAACGTCACTCTAACAGTTAATGACAGTAACGTCACTCAAACAGTTAATGACAGTAACGTCACCCTAACAACAGTTAATGACAGTAACGTCACTCTAACAGTTAATGACAGTAACGTCACTCTAACAACAGTTAATGACAGTAACGTCACTCTAACAGTTAATGACAGTAACGTTACTCAAACAGTTAATGACAGTAACGTCACTCTAACAACAGTTAATGACAGTAACGTCACTCTAACAGTTAATGACAGTAACGTCACTCTAACAGTTAATGACAGTAACGTCACTCTAACAGTTAATGACAGTAACATCGCACTGATAACAGTTAATGACAGTAACATCGCACTGACAACAGTTAATGACAGTAACATCGCACTGACAACAGTTAATGACAGTAACATCGCACTGACAACAGTTAATGACAGTAACGTCGCTCTAACAACAGTTAATGACAGTAACGTCACTCTAACAACAGTTAGTAACAGTAACGTCACTCTAACAACAGTTAGTAACAGTAACGTCACTCTAAGAACAGTTAATGACAGTAACGTCACTAACAACAGTTAATGGCAGTAACGTCACTCTAACAACAGTTAGTAACAGTAACGTCGCTCTAACAACAGTTAATGACAGTAACGTCACTCTAACAACAGTTAGTAACAGTAACGTCACTCTAACAACAGTTAATGACAGTAACGTCACTCTAACAACAGTTAATGACAGTAACGTCACTCTAACAACAGTTAATGACAGTAACGTCACTCTAACAACAGTTAATGACAGTAACGTCACTCTAACAACAGTTAATGACAGTAACGTCACTCTAACAACAGTTAATGACAGTAACGTCGCTCTAACAACAGTTAATGACAGTAACGTGTATTTTGTTTTCATAACGTGACACTTGAGTATTATGTTTAGTGAGCGTCGCCATGATGAACGAGGACACGGCGACCGGTGTCGCCGTGTCCTCGTGAGTCTGACTATTTTATGACTATTATCTGACTCGTCCTCGTGAGTCTGACTATTTTATGACTATTATCTGACTCGTCCTCGTGAGTCTGACTATTTTATGACTATTATCTGACTCGTCCTCGTGAGTCTGACTATTTTATGACTATTATCTGACTCGTCCTCGCGAGTCTGACTATTTTATGACTATTATCTGACTCGTCCTCGTGAGTCTGACTATTTTATGACTATTATCTGACTCGTCCTCGTAAGTCTGACTATTTTATGACTATTATCTGACTCGTCCTCGTGAGCCAGACTATTTTATGACTATTATCTGACTCGTCCTCGTGAGTCTGACTATTTTATGACTATTATCTGACTCGTCCTCGTGAGCCAGACTATTTTATGACTATTATCTGACTCGTCCTCGTGAGCCTGACTATTCTATGACTATTATCTGACTCGTCCTCGTGAGCCAGACTATTTTATGACTATTATCTGACTCGTCCTCGTGAGTCTGACTATTTTATGACTATTATCTGACTCGTCCTCGTGAGTCTGACTATTTTATGACTATTATCTGACTCGTCCTCGTGAGTCTGACTATTTTATGACTATTATCTGACTCGTCCTCGTGAGTCTGACTATTTTATGACTATTATCTGACTCGTCCTCGTGAGTCTGACTATTTTATGACTATTATCTGACGCGTCCTCGTGAGTCTGACTATTTTATGACTATTATCTGACGCGTCCTCGTGAGTCTGACTATTTTATGACTATTATCTGACTCGTCCTCGTGAGTCTGACTATTTTATGACTATTATCTAACTCGTCCTCGTGAGTCTGACTATTTTATGACTATTATCTGACTCGTCCTCGTGAGTCTGACTATTTTATGACTATTATCTGACTCGTCCTCGTGAGTCTGACTATTTTATGACTATTATCTGACTCGTCCTCGTGAGTCTGACTATTTTATGACTATTATCTGACTCGTCCTCGTGAGTCTGACTATTTTATGACTATTATCTGACTCGTCCTCGTGAGTCTGACTATTTTATGACTATTATCTGACTCGTCCTCGTGAGTCTGACTATTTTATGACTATTATCTGACTCGTCCTCGTGAGTCTGACTATTTTATGACTATTATCTGACTCGTCCTCGTGAGTCTGACTATTTTATGACTATTATCTGACTCGTCCTCGTGAGTCTGACTATTTTATGACTATTTTCTGACTCGTCCTCGTGAGTCTGACTATTTTATGACTATTATCTGACTCGTCCTCGTGAGTCTGACTATTTTATGACTATTATCTGACTCGTCCTCGTGAGCCAGACTATTTTATGACTATTATCTGACTCGTCCTCGTGAGTCTGACTATTTTATGACTATTATCTGACTCGTCCTCGTGAGCCAGACTATTTTATGACTATTATCTGACTCGTCCTCGTGAGTCTGACTATTTTATGACTATTATCTGACTCGTTCTCGTGAGTCTGACTAATTTATGACTATTATCTGACTCGTTCTCGTGAGTCTGACTAATTTATGACTATTACTGACTCATCCTCGTGAGTCTGACTATTTTATGACTATTATCTGACTCGTCCTCGTGAGTCTGACTATTTTATGACTATTATCTGACTCGTCCTCGTGAGTCTGACTATTTTATAACTATTATCTGACTCGTCCTCGTGAGTCTGACTATTTTATGACTATTATCTGACTCGTCCTCGTGAGTCTGACTATTTTATGACTATTTGCTGACTCGTCCTCGTGAGTCTGACTATTTTATGACTATTATCTGACTCGACCTCGTGAGTCTGACTATTTTATGACTACTATCTGACTCGTCCTCGTGAGTCTGACTATTTTATGACTATTATCTGACTCGTCCTCGTGAGTCTGACTATTTTATGACTATTATCTGACTCGTCCTCGTGAGTCTGACTATTTTATGACTATTATCTGACTCGTCCTCGTGAGTCTGACTATTTTATGACTATTATCTGACTCGTCCTCGTGAGTCTGACTATTTTATGACTATTATCTGACTCGTCCTCGTGAGTCTGACTATTTTATGACTATTATCTGACTCGTCCTCGTGAGTCTGACTATTTTATGACTATTATCTGACTCGTCCTCGTGAGCCAGACTATTTTATGACTATTTTCTGACTCGTCCTCGTGAGTCTGACTATTTTATGACTATTATCTGACTCGTCCTCGTGAGTCTGACTATTTTATGACTATTATCTGACTCGTCCTCGTGAGCCTGACTATTTTATGACTATTATCTGACTCGTCCTCGTGAGTCTGACTATTTTATGACTATTATCTTACTCGTCCTCGTGAGTCTGACTATTTTATGACTATTATCTGACTCGTCCTCGTGAGTCTGACTATTTTATGACTATTATCTGACTCGTCCTCGTGAGTCTGACTATTTTATGACTATTTTCTGACTCGTCCTCGTGAGTCTGACTATTTTCTGACTATTTTCTGACTCGTCCTCGTGAGTCTGACTATTTTATTTTTGACCTCGTGAGCCAGACTATTTTCCCCCGAGTCTGGCGACCGGGGAAAATTTATCATACATAGCTTTGAACTTTGACTTCGCTTGCTGCCAAAAATCAATGTTTTCATAAAGCCTAAACATATTCAAAAACTCCTTAAATAAAATATATATATAGAATATCAGATTAAAGAAGTGAATATGCAATTGCTCCAAGTTTTCAGGAATATATTTAAATAATAAACAATTGTTTCCACACTGGCAGGCACGACCTCAGAAGTGATTTACTGAATCACCAGGAATAATGAAGATGTTGATGGTCAATAACCCCTCCCCCCCTTCACACACATATTATCAACCCCCCTTTCTCTCTATCACCAATTAATCTCTTTCTTCTTCCGCTCCCTCTTCCTTTAAGCTTTTCGTCCCCGCCTTTCTCTCTCTCTCTCATTTACTGTCCCTGTATTTCTAACCCACTAGGGTAGAACAGCGGAAGAACAACAGCACACAGAGGAAAGGGAAGGACATGGAACACTTACTTAGGCGACGATGAACGGAATATGGGAAAATTTCACTAAAGTTTGAATAACTGTAAGAAACAATATATAGCCTTCAGAGTGAGCTGTGATCGCCAGAGGAGGTGACAAGGCTGAAGGTAATCCCACCCCACACCCAGTGTCACACAATCAACACTAACGAAATGAAACAAAAAAAGTTACCTTCATATCTCTCCCTCTCTGGCTGTCTGTCTGCCTGTCTGTCTGTTTCTTTCTCTCTCTCAAACATCTCCAAAGGATACCTGATCAACCAGGCTGTGACTCATACGTCAGGACTCATACGTTAGTCAAGATAACCTCAAGATCTCTCTCATTCTCTCTCTCTCTCTCTCTCTCTAATGATGAAACCCGAGTCAATTTCCGCCTATCATTTTATAGTAAACTATGAAAACACTTGGCTAAATTTTTTTTTATTAATACATTAGGTACATCTCCATTAGTGCAGCTACCCTAGACTATATGAAGTGGAGTACAGAGTGTCTAAAAAGCTAACTAGGTGATGCTAAAAAATCCCCATCACACAGGATGGTTAGTCATACAGAGGCATGTGATAGGCAGTCTGCACTGGCAGACTCCGGATGCATTTTGAGGATGTCATCAACACAAGAGTGAATAAGGCAGCAGTGGTAATAAAAGTCCCCATCTCGCAGGATGGTTAGTCATACAGGGCCATATGTTTAGTAGCCTGCACTGGCAAATTTTGGGTACACTGTGAGGATATCTTTAAGAATATGAGAGTGAATAAAGTAATTGCAAAGCTCCAGGTACCTCATGCCAACTGGTCTGAAAGGTCTAACTAACTGGGCATTAAGTGATGTAGTGCGGGAGATCGTGCCGTAGTTCCTGCTCACAGAGTTTGCAACTGGAGTGCTCAGGATTGGGAGATCCGTCACCTGCAGCCACCTGCCACAGGTAACGGTAACCCAACCTGATCCTGGCAACCACTGTGTCGCACAGTCTGGTGGACGTTTTGTGCTGCCCGTAGATATAGGTTTCAGACCAGAACAAATCATAGCTTTTTATACTAGTACTTTCAGGTCGTTGGGCGTCAGAAATTTCTTTCCTATCTGACCTGAATGTTTGAACCAATACAGTTTTGACAGTAGAGATGGGGATACTAGATCTAATTCAACTTCATCTTTGTTGCACGCTAATTTGGACGCAATGTCTGTCTCATTATGACGGGTTATATTTACGTGTGAAGGGATCCATATAAAAGATATTCGAGACCCTTTACTCTGTGCAGCAATTAGATCATTTATAATCGGTAGTTTGAGGTTCTTGCTGTCGATCTTCCAGGACAAGTTTTCGATTGCTTGAAGAGCAGACTTTGAATCACAAAATATTATTCCTCCCCCAATGTTTTTTTAATGTACTGGTAGCTAGGTGTAATGCTGCTAGTTCTGCTTGTGTGGAGGTCAGCCAGTTGTTTAACCTGACACTGCGCTAATAGGTGAAAGTAATCAAAACTCTACGGAACATACACTCGTAATTTCATCTCAGACCATGACAATTGCAGGGAGGCAACCTTGAGGTT